GGCTGCAGGAGCCGGGCCCCGCTGGGGGCAGTAGGAGCTGCCGGGCGGGCGCCGGCGCCGGCGGCGCCATTTTGTGCGCGCCCTGAGGCGCAGCTCAACCTCAGGCGGTGGCCGAGGCAAGCGCAGCAGGGGAGCGAGGCCGTCGCCAAGGACCGGCCTGCTCCGAAATACAGCCCATAAACCAAGCAGAACCCCACGGTCGTCCTTGCTGCCCCCAGGGGTCTTCCCTTGGTTCAGGTAGCAGTTCAAGCAGGTCACGCCCAGAGCTTGTTACTCGCATGCTGCATCTTAATCTCCTTCAGTAATTACCAGCTTTTACCAGGTGACTTTGGTCCACTCTGTAAATAAAACTACACTCCAAAAATTTGAAGTATGATTAAAAAAAAAAAGTACGCTTACTGGAAAATCCATTTTGAGCCCTGCATCTGTAGGCTTTGCTTAARCAAGGCTTTTACCTTTCCTCTTTCATTTTGTTGACTTTGCCTGATTTTGACCATTAGTGTTCGGAGTGGGAGTGCTGGTAGTATCTCGTGTCGCACCTGATTAACTGTTCAGCATCCGTGGAGGAAAAGAGCCCTGATCTAGTGCGATAGCCGAATATATATATATATATATGTAAATGTTAAATTCATTTTTAAAAACCTTCCAGTTCTCATCTTGTCTTTATATTTTTAATGACAGCCTTATTTCTCATCATCTGTGGCATATATAAAGTATTGTTTGCAAATTGTTTTTGTGCCTCGGAATACAATTTCTGCATTTGAGTGTCTTTCTCACTGTCATCAATAACATTATAAATTTGTCTAAATTCAGCAAGTAAAAACAAGGTTGAAAACTATGTTTTATACCACTAGCCGCAGGGGGCATAAAATTACGGTAATTTGTGGCTTTGCTATTGTCAGTCATGCACACGAGCTTTTTTTCAGTGGGAATTTGTCAGGCATGTGGCGCTGAGCGTGCTGCAAATGTGTTTTCATAATATGGAAGCATTGAGAGATTCCCTGTGAAATCTCGAAAGCTGAATGTCCAAATGGCTTGTGTTTAAAATGGGGCAAATCCCCAGTGCGTGTGGTCARGTCATTGGGCGGCGCTGAGCTCTGTTGCAAGCAGAAAACGCTTTCCAGGTAACTAACACTGGGCCAAACAGGTTCTTAATGTGGTTATGAGGAGGAGACGGGCTCGCTGGCCGGGCAGGAAGGCACCCAGAGCACCGGCATGAGGAGAGGCACTGGTGTGGTTTCACCCTCTCTTGCCCTCAGGGCAACCGGCCCTGAAATACCGGGCAGCTCGGAGGGAATTGCCGGCTTCCATCTGTGGTACTGGGCTTTGCAAGCCGGGAAGTTCGCTTGTTAGCAAAAGTTCMTTTTATTCAACAGGCCAAAATGCCGTGAGCAAATCTGCCTTCCTTAGCTGCGGCCACCACACGTTTCACCTCCGACGGACCCGCTTGCGAAGGGGGTCTGCGCTGCCCCGTGCCCTGCCCTGCTCACGATGCCGGCTCGGGTGTCCTGTGGCTGCAGGTGTGCAGCCTTTGCACTGTGTTTCACTGGGCGCTGTTCTGATAGTCCGTTTTCTGGCTTCCTGCTTCTCTCCAAGGTGTTCTAAAGGGCCTGGCTATTTTAAATAGTCCTTGTGAAAGCTCTGGGCGTTTATTAAAAAGCGAGAGGTTGGGTAACCCTCAGTTCTGTCAGGGCACTCTGCTGTGGTGATTTGTGAAGGAAACTTACTGTGATCTTGTGTCAGGCACAAGCTGCTGTTGGAGGCTAACRTGGTGTTTCAGGTGCTATGCTTTTTCTCTTAACTTTCTAGATGAAACTAAGTCTTTTTTATTAAAAAAAAAAATAAAACAGAAAAGCAGCAACATTATTGTAAACTTTCTCTCTCAACCCACTGAAAGCAAATCAAGAGAGTGTCCTGAGGMCTGATGATGCTACCCAATGTGCTGTGCATCATTGCCAGGCACTGGGATACGTTGCAGATAGTCCTGTATGTTCAGCTCCCAACTATCTGTGCACATTTAGAGGTCTCCGATTGCTCTGCATCTGTTTACGAATTCAGTACCCAACTGGCACACGAGTGTCTTGTGGGCTCATTTGCCTCTCTACCGAATGCAACGTATCGCTGAGCCACGCGGCAGCGCGTGTTTACTCGCAGTGTGAGTTCTGGGCAGTGTCTTAGCACTGGTGTCTCCAACTCACCCGTTAAAATACGTGACAGAGTTGATGGAGGTGGGGGTCATGCCGCAGTTCGGTGCGGGCGCTGTGGGGCAGCCCCACACGCTGCCRTCYCTGCTCCTGGGAAGCCTTACAAGCAGGCAGCTGCGTGGCCTGCAAGCAAGAAGGATACTAAGGTAACTTATGGTTCAAGGCAAATCCCTGTGCTTGATTTGATGAACAAACAACAGCACCAAATAGTTTTGTATTTAACTGCCTAAACTGGCAACAACACTTAAGACTTAGGGATCCAAGTTGCTTTCCAAATATTCCCCGAAACAAATTAATCAGCTGTCATTGCGGATACCTACAATATGTGTATTTTATATCTATACCCGCTTATACATGTGCACATGCATATGTATGCGCACACATGCAAGCGTATAAATACACACACACGCTTCTAAAGCTCATCAGTTCTTAAAAGGGTTAAGCAGTTTTAAAATTGCCTCAACCCACTGCTTAAACACTGTTGCCTTAATTAATAGCTGCTAACACATGAGCAGCTTGTCTTGGCTCTCAGATTAAAAAAAAATGCAGCGTGTCACAGAGCTCCACGTTCGCTGTTTCTTGTCTACTGCCATTGAAATTAATCCCTGTGGCTAAAACCTGAGAGGCTTCTTGTCTGTGGTGCAAGCGAGCAGACCAGCAGCTGTAACCTACATGGGGATGGTCCCCCCATAGGGTTTGGCCTGTGGCACCTACGGTGGGGGAGTTGTCTGCTAGTTTGGGGGGTTTTGTTTTGTATTTCAAGGGAGTGGCTATTGATACCTGTAACAAACTTAGCATTTCTGAGTGCAATCTGTGATGAGCGAATACGAGGTGGGACTTTAAGCAGCTACTTATTAATTTAGCTTTAGCAGAGTGAAAGCTGGTCCTTTCCAAACGACGAGTTAAAAGTATTTTGGAGGATTGCCATTATACCTGAGCCAATGTGCAAATTAGTGTTTTGATATTCCATTTTCCTACACTAAAAAAGTTTGTCCCTTTTGCTGCTGGAGAGAGAGTTCAATATTTTAAGCAATGAAAAGCCCTATTTTTTCTCATCTGTTTCATTATAGTCCCCCTCCAACGCAGAGGGGTGCTGTACCAAGTTTCCATTTTGCACTCGTTGCTTCATTCTTTGTAGCCTTGGTATAACCAGCAAAGCTCTTTCTGCCTTGTGTATTTGATGGGTTATTTTTCTGTACAAATATTGGCGCTACTCGTATTTGAGGTTCTCACTCCCAACTCCAAGGTCTGTGCAAGCTGCAACCCAAGAGCTCCTCACAATTAGGTGTCCCTGGTGTCCCTGCAGCCGTGCTCTGGGTGTCCCTGCTGGAGCAGGGGCTGGACTAGGTGATCTCTAGAGGTCCCTTCCACCCTCAGCCACTCTGTGACTCCGTGATTAACCTCGAGCGTTGGCCAGTGCCACGAGCAGCCAGGGGAAATGCCCAGCCCGGGCCTCGAGGTGCCTCCGTGGTCACGGCTGCGCACCCGGCGCTGCGGAGCCGTTCACATCGGCACCAGTGCAGCTGTCTGCCGCAGCTGGGGCTGAGATCCGTGGTCCAGGACCAGGTTCTGGTGCTGTCTGTGGAGAGCAGAGCAGGGATGGCAGCGGGGGAACCCTCAGAAGGGCAGTGCTGCCCGCCTGGCTGCTGGTGATCTRCCCCGTTCCTCGAGGCACAACAAGAGCAGCACTTGGAAGTGCAGCGAGTGGCACGTGGTGCCGGCTTGTGAGCTAGAGCCCCTCTGGTTTGGGATGGCTGCAAGCTCCTCGAGTTGGTCTGGCCCAGGAAGCACAGGGAAGCCGCGGATTTGTATGGACACAGGCGAGTTGAGGGTGGAGGAATGACCAGCCCGGCCTGCAGAAAGCAGCGCCGAGGGGGAACGGGGCGCCGACGCCGTCTGGCCTCCACCGGGGTGCCCGGGGCAGCGCTCGGCCCCCGCTGGCCGCTCTGCCACGGGCGAGGACAGGGCACAGCGGCCACCGGGAAGCGGGACGGAGCGGGATGGAGCGGGGCCGCCGGGAAGCGGGACCGGCCCAGGCTGCGCACAGGGGCACAGAGGGCCCGGCGGTGGCGGCGGCGGCTCCCGCCGGCTGCGCGGCCCCTTTGTGCGCGCGTCCCCCCTTGTCACAACAGCCGCCCGGGCCCGCCGCGCCGAGGGTGGAATTCTGAATTGCCAAAGGCAGCCGCTGAAGTCGTGTCAGCAGCCTGACTAATCTCACAAAAGGAAGGAAATTCAAAGCTAAGGCTACGCTCTGCGCTTAGCTTAGACTCCTGGAGATTTCTGTGCATGACAATGTGCCCCTAAAATTCAGAGCTGTCCCTTCTGTCTTTAATTTCTCCCATTGTCTCTCTCCTTTTTTTATTAAACATCAAAGCGAATTCACAACAGAGAGTCAGCCTAGAATTTAATCCTCTAAATACCTTGAAAATAGAGGTTTAGACTCGAAGTACCAATATACACCCTTAAAACTTCAGCGTAATATAAAAGAGATTCTAATCACAACAGATCATTACAAAGAAGAGTAAACCACTTTAAAAAAATGAGTGTCTTAAATATAATAAAAAGGAATAATTAAGAATCAAACAGGAAGCTGCTATTCTGACAATTTAATGATGCTGAATTGGACTGAAAGAATTGGCTTTGCCATTAGAAAGCCATGGAAATCTGCTCATTCCAAAATGGCACTAGAATAGGATCAAGAGTATTTTTCAAAATCGGAGGAAATGGAGCAAGAAAGGAGAGGTAGAATTTGCCTCAAAAAATCATGGGACGTTGGGAATTTCGTGAGTGTGTGAGGCTGGAGCTGGTGGTTTCTTTCAGACTTACTCCAAGTCTTTAGTCTAGAGTCTTCCTCAGAATGGAGTCTCGTGTGTCCTCTGTGGCAAGCAATGGGGCAGCCCTACTTGCCAAGTGGAAGTAATACAACATGGGTGGGGTTTCATTTTTATTTCTTCTTTTAAAAAAATCAGCTTCACGTAACACTGTCGAGGGCGCTAGACAGCCGGCTAGGCAGGAGTTCTGAGTGTGCACAGCACATGGAAGCACATGGAAGGAGAAGATGCACTTGGGAGTTTTCAGATGTATTCACACGCACAGCGATGCACACGAACGTTACAAAACCAGCAGCCCAATCATATAAAATGTTTGCACCACTAAGCACCTAATTTGCATGTGTGCTCACCGTGACCAGACATGAATTATGGCSGTTGATCTGCTCTTCTCTAATTCTCTGAGCACTTGGCTTCTGATTACACACAGGTAGGTGCGGGATTACAAGCATTGCATGGATTGTGCCATAGATCCTTAGTGGGTGSAAAGGTTTGATGTTTTCCACTGGAGGTAGGAACCAATGCTGGCAAATTGCTRCATTGGGTACCAGTGTGGAGAAAAGCATGAGCAGTACGGTCATTTTTTTGTGCATTTATACTTAAAAATGGATACAAGAAGATAAGATAATTTTATCTATACAAGAAATAGTTGATACAATGAGGAAWTACTTATTTGGGGCATCAATAGCACCTAAGTGGAAGAATACAGACAAAATCTTAAAGCTCTTGAGCAATGATAAGCAACACAGAATAATTAATATTTGTTTTCTGTCCTTGCCTATACAGGTTCTCCTGAARCTTTAGTGAATTTCTCTCTCCGTGTTCTTCTTCTCTGCATCATTCTGTGTGAGTGCTGAATTTAATACTTGCTACAGAAACAAAGTGCTGTCGGATGTGCCAATACTGCTGCTCTCGCAGGTTCCTTACTTCAGTACATGATCCCTATACATTCCAAAAATATCAGCTAAGACCTCGGCTATCATAAACTGGGACAGGCCCTTCCGAATCCCGGGCCCACAGCTCAGCCTGTTACAAGCTGTAGATGCCTCGGACGTGCCTTGCCACCTATGAAGCCGTATGTGAAAAACAGAACTGGGAGTCTCGGTCYGGGTTCCGGTGTCGGCTGCAGTGCGGTGGGAGCCCGGGAGCACGAGCCGCCTCGGCACTGTTGGAGTTCTGCTGCCATCCTGTGGCTCCCAGGACTCACTTCAGTCCTGCACACTGTGCACATACCTGCTCCTGCTAGCAGGAATTAGTGACATCTCCGAAGGCTGCAGAAAATAAGCTTGGGTGCTTTCCARGAGGAGCAAAGATGAGTGCTTTTGGGCAAGGGACCCTGTACTCCGCTACGTGTTTCGCTGTTACCAGTTCTGATGTGATTTCTGCTTGATGAACCTCAGCGACAGGTAATACAGAATGAGGAAGATGAGGATGATCCCCGTGAGGATGAGGTAGCTCACATAGAGAGGCTGAGAATCCAGGTCCAGAGACTGAATTACCTGTAGGCGCAGAGAGCACAGGGTTAGGCAGCGGCAGGATTCTCCCGCGGGAAGCGGCGCCTCTCCTGGGCCGGTGCATCCTGCACGCGGTGCTCGCGCTCCAGGTCAGCTTCACGGGAAGGTGCAGGAGGGCGCGCTGCCAGACCCCTGGGCACGTTGAGGCCGGCGTGCCGGCAGCTGTGGCCGTGGGAGGCGTCCGGAGGTTCCGCCGCTGTGTCAGTGAGCGCCCGGCTCTGTCTGGGGGTGGCCTTTGTGCCTCTGGGGGTGTTTCGGGGGCCCTCACAAGGCAGCTCTGGGRCAGCGGCTCCCGCAGCCAAATACCTCCGCTTGGGAAGCTGCCCRCGAGACCTCACATCGCCCTTTGCAAGGGGGCTTTGAGCAGCCCAGAGCCACCAAAATGCAGAAAAGCAGTTTCCATGGGCAGCCCATTCCCAGCCTGCCAGCTCCGAGCAGGCACCAGGCGCATCCCTGTGCCGGGAGCACTGCAGGAGCCAGGAAGACTCTTCCAGGTCCCCTTCTCTATTCTGCAAATGCTGGTGTGGGAACAGCCTCACAGAGTTTCATCAGGTTTGGGGCTTCTCGCTTCCTTCCCCTCTCTGAGCTCCCCCAGGCCAGGGCTGGGGCGTCAGCCCCAACACTGTCCAAAGGCCAACAGCCCCAAGCTCCCGGCAGCAAAGAGATGCCTTAAAATACACAATGTGACTTTGCTTCCTGCCTGGGAATGGTGAATTCGTGGCCTGTGGTATCTACATGAAATAGGACGGGCCTGTAAATGGCACTTTACGTAACTATCAGCTCTAAATGTTTCTACTGGAGAGTAACTTACTAGTTTTCCGGGTATGCGAAGGGTARTGTTTCCAATAGCCACTTCATAGGTGAATTCGTTAAACTGAACTTGCATCAGGCCTTGAAAATTCCATCTCAGAAAAGATATTTTGGAAATCCAGAATGGAACTGGAAAAAAAAATAGCAGAAGGAAAGGAATTGATGTAAATACACAAAAGATACTGGCGGCCCAAATATAGCTGTGTTGTCGCCACAGGTTTGTCTAATTTCTTGGTTTCTAGAGACTGTAGACAAATAATTCATTACTGAAGACAAGGGCAGATATCTAACTAGGCAGAAATGGAAAATAAGAGGGCGGTTAATATCTGAATCAGTCTCCTACTGCCAACTAAGACTCAGCAGAGTTTCAAATTCATCTRCTGACTCTAGTTCTGCTCCTGGAACTGCGCAGGGATAAACCCGGCCTTTCACTCGTGCTCTTTGTAAGCAAACCCACTGCTGTTGCTGCCTCCGTTTCCGAGGCAGAGGCGGGTGCCAAGGCAGCAACGTGCCCGCTCGCCCCGCAGGAGGGCAGCCCTCGCCGTGGGAGCAAAGCGGCGCTTGCCCGCACGGCGCCCGCTCGGCGAGCGCTGATGGAAGCGCCCTCTTTTCCACGCCGAGGCCGTCCTACCTGTCCAGAGGTTCTTCAGGCTGATGACAAAGCCGCCGCTCAGGTAGAAGGAGGTGAAGAGGACGTTGCCGAAGAAGGCCGAGAGCTGCAAGGTGGGCAGCAGCGCGGCCACCCAGAGCGCCATGGTGCGGGCGCAGTACACGGCCAGCCACACCATGAGGAAGTTCATGAGGAAATGCTCYGGCTCCGGGTTCAGGTTTGCCAGCCAGTAGATGGGAATCCCATAAATGATCACAAAAGCGCAGTGCTCTGGCAGCTCCCCCAAGATCTGTTCAGGAAGGGGAGTTGGGGATGGGTTGGAAAAAAGAGAGAGAAAAATAAGCTGCAACCACAAAACCTGCTAGGATGCCTCTTATGGCACTTGTGGACTATTTTTAAGAAGTCAATGGGAAATACTCCTTTAAAATGATCTCTTTTTTAGGTGTTACTGGGGACATTATTTAAAAAAAAAAAAAAAAGGACAACAAAATGAGAAATGTCCCTAACTTGTTTCCTAGCTATAATAATTCCTATGACTATTGGCTAAATTGATCGGCTTCTTGTTAAGGAATTGATGCTTGTTTCATTTTAATCAGTTTCTAAGAATTTAAGACACTTTCCCTCTTTTCCTTTGTAGACTTGATAGTACTGGTCCTGTTACTGCCTCGCTGCGACTGTTGCTTTGTCCAAATTTCAGTGGARTCAAACACGGAATCAGGCTCGAGGTAAAACTGCCATTACGGTTGATCCCTTCCCCACCTCATTCCGAGGGCAGCCCACTTGGGTAACTACTTAATTCACTGTAAACCAAAAATATGCTTAGGATATCTAGGGTAGATTAGGATGGATTTCTTAGGGTATCTATCAAATAGCTAAAGGTTTGCAAAGTATTACTATTTTTTCCTAAAGTCTTAATATTAAAGGATGGCAGTAGGGTTGTAACAAATCACATAGCTCTTTCTATGAACAGCACACAATCCCTGTGACAGAACGCAAAGAATATTTTTCTCTGTCAACCACTAATAAGCATTTAAAATCTCATGCAGAAATGGAAACCTGAATTACAGATGCCATGGCAAGCGGAACTCAGGTGGCAAAATCACAAAGGCAGTATTATTCTAAATCTTTATGAGAGGGAGAACATTATTTAAAAGAGAAATCCTCTGCAATTCAATTCCAGAAGTTGTGGCTCTATATGCAGCCAATACAGTTGTGTTTTTCTGACCACCACAGTCTCAAACAGCTGTTGGAATGGTCACAGCGTCTTGCTATTTCTGTTCTACAGTTGCTRTAGCACTTAATATGAATTTTCTGTTTTATGGATCACATCGTGTTATGCAGCTTTCAAAGATATTTCAGCTAACAAAATATGCCAGTATGTCAAGCTGTCATAACTGTCAGAATGTAAACCCTCAGATTTGTCCTGCAGGATCCCCAAATTTTGGCCAAATAACCCAGTGAAAAATTCCTCTACTGCTTTTCTGGCCTAGGCAACAGGTGATTTATGGCAACAGGTCTGGAGCAGTTTGGGATTTAACGAGAGCAGGAACGGTAGCCGTAGCTGGCAGGCACAAAGGAGCAATGTGTGATCATTTATATATATAAAAATTATTCTTTTTTTCCCCCCTTTAAAGCCAGCTGTGTGCATTTCCTGAACAAAACCAATTACCTTGGCAAAGAAGTATGGGCTCACAGAATACATTCCATCCTCCAAGTCATGATAAAGCATCGCTCTTTCTGAATGACCTGCAATACAGAAACAAACAGGTTGATTTCATCCTAGAGTTGCCTTCAATACGTGTAATTTTTCATTGATYAAAAAATTACTTTCTAGTTTTGATTGCTTAGAACATTTACAATAAAACTGACACTTACATTTGGCAATAACATCCAAAATCACTGTGAATGGGGTTAGTGCACCTATCATGTACAACAGTGCTGTTGTGTCACGAATAGAAAGTCTGTTTTTATCATGGCCATAGTACAAAAATCCAATCAGTAATGACATGAGAAGGGCCTCAAATCCATGGATTAATAGCGTTGAAAGATCTCGGAAGTCATTGGAGACTTGACGACTAGGAAAACAGCAACATTTACGGTAAGGTACAGTACTTGCTAATGTCAGATATATTTAGATATATTGCCTCAAATGCTCTCCTAACATTCATTTGTGAAACTTGTTGTCTCTGGGGAGGACAGGCAGGAATTCACGTGTGGGGTCCTGCAAATGTCTAGCCTTAATCAAAGCTACTGAGCACCTGCACTCACCTACTATTTCAGGGCTGAARTACTGAAAGCTTCGTGAAAGGCAGTGGGGCAGGAGCGTCTGTTTTCTATTTTGAGGGTGCAGAGCTTAGGGGAGCCTGACAATGACATTCTACATGTATGGAGCTGGTTGGTTATAATATATATATATAATATATAAAATTTTTATATATATTATATATATATAAAAACATATATAGATGCTTATAGAACTTCTGTGCTGTCTCTACTCTGCAAAACTTTAAATCTGACTTTAAATCTGAGCCCCAGGGTGAGGGTAGCAGTGCCTGAGCCGGGCTTGGCTCCTTGGATTTGCTGAGGGTCAGGTCACAGCAGTTAGGACAACAGCCCCCCAAAACAGACAGAAATATCCCTGTCCTCCTGCCACAGCTCGACCCCATGGGCTCTCAGCAATGTGAGCAGGAGGGGACTGGGGCTGGGGCAGAAATGGGGCAGCTCGGGTGTCTGGGGAGACCTGGCACAGAGGCTGTTTCCCTCCCGGGCTCACTCCATCCTATTGCTCCCTCTCTGAACTTTCAGCACGTGCTCAACTCACTTGGGCTTCTTCCTTCATATTTTAAAAATACAAATGAATATGATGGGTATTTGTTTATGGTAGAGCTTACCTTAATAATACTGTGAACTGCTTTAGGGCTCCTGGTAAGTGGTCACTCGAATGGGAAGGCATGTTAATAGACTCCTCTGCATTTCCATGGGAACTGCCCAAACGAAAAGATAAAGAAAGTTGAAAAAAGCTCAAGCTGGGGCAGTTATTCCACATCTATGTTCTTCATATTGCTTACCTTTGTTTGCTGGAGGTGGTGACACTGTCGTTTCCTTCAGTAACTTTCCATAAGAAATTATCGAAGCCTTTGACTTTCTCTAGGAACAARCTGGCAAGAGCATTGGCTCTTCTTTGGCTTTCCATCTCCTTTTCTGCGTTCTGTTTGTCGATGCTGGTCAGATCAACTGCAAGACATTATCTGGCATGAGCCTGTGCTAGGCGTGTGAAAATGTCATCTAGAAGCAGAGGTTGTATTGTGAACAAAAGGTACAATCTGTGTGAATAAATTAAGCTGCAATGGTTATTCTTAAAACTTGATCAATCACTTTAGCAGTTAGAGAAGAACAGCTTGTTAATGTGTGTTGGTTTCTTGGGAAAGGGGTGTAAATAGTGTTACTTAATTATCTGATGAACCACTAACAGATTTCATAACTGCCCATTATAAGAYTTGAAATATATTATTTCAGATTTTTGTCTCATTTTAATAGTGAATAATGAATTTGATGCTGGGAATGAACAATTCACGTTTCCTTCCTGGTACTTCAGACATTTATAATCCATTGTGTAACTTTGGCTTGAAGGGTAAGGTTTTTCTCTGTCTGTTAAAAGAGTTATCATCCCTTTTCTATCATGCAGACGTTCCATAAACTTGACCCGAAATCGAGAAAGGTTCCAGTGAGCACTACCCAGGGACAACACAGCAATAGCAATAATTCACTTAATACTGTGTTTTAAACTAATGAAACCAGTATTTTTTTTAACTTAATCCCATTCTAGGACCCCCGTTTCCACTCTCCTCCTGGCCAGACTCTCTCATATGGTGGGGCTCTGTGGGTGTCTTTCCTCCCTCCCGCAGTGGCAGAGAAATCAGAAAGGAGGGAAGCACCTGAAATACCTCATCCATGTGTGGGCTGTTGCAAGCCCATCTCACAGCTGCATTTAGGGACAAAAGTGTCCCTGGAGGGGGTGGACATCCAGGTTTGTTTCTGTTTATCTCAGTGCAGCTGATAAGAGCTGCCCCYGGCTGCAATACAAGCGCAACCCCAGGGCGCTGCACTTGGGCCTCTCCGCAGGCTCTGGAGCCGGATCGAGGGCCACGGGCCGCGGTTGGGGCTGACCCGTCCCGGTCAGGAGGCTGCTGCCCTCAGGCCCAGGGCCAGATTCCCTGCGGGGGATGCAAAGGGCAGCTAGAGAAGGATTTGGAACCAGGCAGTTAAAGTTCTTTGAGATGAGGAAAAAAACAATTTGGGGTTATTTTGTTTCCCCTTTCCAATATGCCCGGGTGGGCAGCACTTTTCTTTCCCAGGTATGGGCTATTCCTCACCTTGGGAGGCTGTTGCTTCCCACCTTTCCTGAGTAAGAAGCCAGAGAATGACTGTTCTCAGAAAGCAATTCACCAGCTCAGCCCTTCCTTTTTCAGTGAGGATAACAATTCTAGCCAGATAAAACATGACATTAAGGGTACTAAGCATGCAGGAGAGTTATTACACCTGGCAGGAATGGGAGGAGAATTATTAAAAATTGATTTTGCCCATATCTCCTGGTTTTGTTACATTTCCTGTACTGATAGATAAGCAAGGGTTTTATTAAAAAGTGAACTTGCTGCAGTATTGATTCAGGTCCTTCTAGCCACAAGCTAGTTATGGTCAATGAAAATGAAATGTGTTAGTTGATACACTTCCCAAAGCAAATGATTTCCAGCAGCATTTTTCCTTTATGGCAACGTTTGATACTAACCGTAGTAATCGGCAGGATTGCTGTACTTGGGGCAGGGATAGCCTAGTTCTGTGAAATACTGGACCATGTCTCTAGCTGTTCCAGAATAGACAGTGACTCCAGAAGTCAGCAGCAGAACTAAATCAAAAAGCTGAAAGATATCTGACCGGGGCTGGTGAACAGAAAGGAGAACTAATCTGTTTCCTCTGGCCAGCCTGGATAACGTGATCACAAGGTTATGAGCAGTAAAACTGTCCAGTCCAGACGTGGGTTCATCCAGTATCAGTATTCCTGCCAAAGACAAACAGGTTATCTGTGTAGGGCAGTGTGTTCCATCTCAGAAACAGATTCCAAGTGAAATGGTGCTATTGCCTGAAATCTCCCTCACATARAAAGAAAAAAAAAGTATCAAAATYGTATTTCACAGCAGCAACAAATAACATTTAATAATGGGCATATTTCTTTCTTAACTTGCAGAGCATAATGGCAGAGAATACTTATTTTAAATCTTGTCTCGCTGCTGCTGGAAATAAAATGCTGTTCCTGATTCACATGGGGAAGTAGATTCAGGGTCCTTGTAAAACTGGTATCTTTCCATGAGCGTGGCTGAGCCCTGGAGCAGGTGGCCTAGAGAGGCTGTGGAGGCTCCATCCTGGGAGACATTCACAGGCTGCCTGGATGCCGTCCTGGACCCCTGCTCTAGCCGACCCTGCTCGAACAGTTGAAAAGTAAAGGAAGATCTACTTGTTTTTTCTAGAACTCGTGATTTTTTGACTTGAGTAGCAGCACGTCTATCCCTGAGCATCAGTTATTACAAAAAAAAAAAAAAAAAACCAAAAAAAGCAAACTTCTGTTTGCCTCTAATAACTAAATTATAACTCTATATGAGCAATAACTTCTTAGCTCCTTCTCCCAGTTCAAGCAGAACAGCTAGAAGAACTCTCTCAAGAGCTGCTCAGATGAGGTTATTAGAGGTGCTGATGTACCGAAGGACAAATAGGGCACTCACTTTGCCCGGGTTAGCCTTGAATTTTGCTTCTGCTGAAGACGATGGTAGTTTTCAGCGTGCTCGTGGCGTGAGCCATGTCAGCGGCTGGCCTAAGGCAGCAACGAATGGCCGCGTAGCCAAGCCCGTGACCTTCCCTGTTACCATCACACGTGTCAATAGTCCCTATGGGGGCGTATGGAGGCGTAAGGAAAACAAACCAGAGGTCTTGCTCGGCCAAAAGGCCTGCGCCGTAGAGAGCACCACGCGGTCGAGCGAAAAGCAAACGTCAGGCTGAGCTGCGCATGGGGCAGCCCTGGACGCGCTCCCGGGAGTTTGGGCGGGAATGGGGGATGGCTCCCAGAGGCACCTCCAGGGCTGAGGGGTGAAGCTGCTCCAGCGCCGGCCTTACCCGGGTTCCAGAGGAGCTGGACGCCGATGCTGACGCGGCGGCGCTCGCCGCCGGACACGCCGCGCACGTACTCGTTGCCCACGCGCGTGTGGGCGCACGGGCGCAGCCGCAGCTCCGCCACCACGTCGGCCACCTGCGGAGCGAGCGGGAGAGCGTGAGCCCCGCGGCTGCTGCTCGGCCTCCTGCAGCTCCCGAGGGACGGAATCGCGAGGGTTAAAACTGAGGGTTAAAATTCAGCTCTCCAAGAGCCCCTTGAAAAAAAGGCTCCACTGGCAGAGATGATGTTGTTGACCCTCCAGCTTTTTCAGCCTCTCTTCAGCTTTCTCTAAATTGCCAGTTTTTATGAGCTTTGGAACAGTTGCTGGTTTCTATCTTAAAAGAAGAAAAAGGGTTATAATTCATAATCTACATTAAAAAAAATGCCAATTAGCTATTCTGACTCCAAACACAGAGGATCCCTTGGGTAATTCCTGTCAGACCCATTTCGGACAACTTCTTTTTTTTCCCTTTTCATTACCCTTTTTTTCCTCTGAGAGTCTGAGAAATGCTTTGGGAGGCGCAGCTTGGCCACGAACAGCAGCGTTTCCTGGACAGTCAGGTGGGGGAGCAGCCGGTCGTCCTGGTGCACGTAGGCGATGCATTTCTTCACCAGCTGGGGAGTGCTGGGTTTGTCGTTGATCAGGATTTGACCCGAGCTGATTTTGCCTCCGTGATCCCGACAGGTTATCACATCAAGCAGGGACGTTTTTCCACCAGCTAGAAAAAAAAAAAATAAATAAAGAGAGAGAAATAAATGAATTTCTAGGGGACTAATTTAAGGAGTGAAGGAGTGATGTAGTTGCAGGAAGAAATGGTAGAAGTTTTAGTTCTTCATTGGCTGTTTCCTAACCCTTTTTGAGGCTGTTCTGAAGCCCCCCAGACAGACTGGCCCTCGGGGGAAATGCTGGCCAACTGCAGAGCTCACGTTGAGGAAACCTCTCTCTTGCAGAATGGAGCGCGTGGCTTAGGCCTTTCTCATCTAACTGCTGGTTTTCCTTTGGTCGCTGACTATCTGATCTGAAAAGGTGACCTCTCTCCCCTGGTCACCTGTCACCTCTCACTTATGAGGCCCTGGTGAAAGGTGGTGTCCTGTGGTGTGAGCCGGGGCTCTTGCGCGCTCAGAAACGGCAGCCTGAACAGTGACACCACTAAGGTGCTGAGAAGCTACGGTTAGACTACCAAAAAACATCATAATCATGATTTAAATAAAAAATCTTTATGATAAGAAAAAAAGAAGTCATTTAAATAATTCAGAAAAGCTGTCCCCTACAAAGTAAAACAATGAAAACAAAGCCTGATTTGGAATTAAATTGCAAACGACTTTTTCCCTTATGCTGTACGATAGTGTATGTAAACATGCAGAGTTCTCTTATTATGATTAGATGTCATTTATTTCAAGTCTGTCTGTTGAAAGATTAACTCCACACTTGTTTCTTAATATATACATTTAAAAAAAAGAAACCCATCCATCTGTAAACCGTGTATTGCTCTGTTTAAGAATGACATATTGATTGCCATCGACAATGTGAAACCCATCAGCAGTTTAATCTATTTTACTAAGGCATTTGATGAAATAGATGATAAACAGCTTTTAAAAATAGTTTGACTAGTTTGCTGAAAGGGGTTTATGCTCAGCATGCGTTACCTTACAAAAGTACCGTGTCTGCAACTCAACATATTATTTTTTCTGTTGCTTGTGGGAATTTCTAAAGCATAACTTGAATTTCATTGAAGACGTGCTAGGAAAAAAATCTCCTTTTTTTTTTCTTTCTTTTAAGAGAATATCTTCACTGTATTACAGCTAATCTGATCTCAGGATGCCGAGGAGACAAAGCATGAGGTGGTTTTACCTCCAAGCCAGGGATACTATTCAGTTCAATTTAACTGGTCACCTTCCTATTAACTGCGCCTTCCAACTAACTGCGTAGGGTAAAGGCCAGCTTTCCATTAGTCAGCCTTGCCCTGGAGAAGATTAAACCAGTCCCACCAGAAAACGAAAGGAAAAATATGCAGGAAAGTGGAGGCCTTCTTAAAGTCACTGTAGGTAGAACAAAAGAGGAATCTTCCTTTTTTTTCTTATATTTCTGTAAAGTTAATCTGAATGTGATATGTTATGCTGTTARTATGTTTGTATCTGAAGGAAATGCCTGTTTATCTGACTAATCTTTCCTTTGGGGTCCGCAGTTCCCCTGTTCCGAAGCKGAGCCAGGAGCGCAGGCCACAGCTCTAAGGCCACCCAGCGACACAAGAAACACACAGGTAACAAACGTGCAGCTCGTAGCAAAAGCAGCTTTCCTAGGGAAAGTCAGATTTCAGTCCATTCAGATTCTGTGTATTCTCACGCTTGGCATTTTACAGAACGTGATGCGTTTGCAGTAGCGGGGTCTCAGCTAGATTTGGCAGCTCAGCAGGCTGCACAGTGTTGTTACGAGCTGTGTATGGTTTATCTGGAGTTAAATCAGGAAAACTGGTGGCTCTTACCCGTGCTTCCTATAATTGCCAGCATCTGGCCGCTTTGAACTTTTAAATTCAGGTTCTGGATTATGGACACGTGAGAATCCGGCCCGGAGTTGCAGGCCCAAGGCATCCTCATCTGTGCTAGATTCTCATACCAGGGAATCTGGGTTGCCAAATTAACCTAAGAGTAAAAACAAAAGGAAAAACAAGCCTTTCAGWTAGGATATCAAACTATTTGGCAATAAATACATCCAGAGTTGAGATGTTACAAAGGAGGAAACGCACGGTGATAATACTGTAAATTTTCAGAAATACAGGGGAGGTTTTTACAGCCAACTATGGTTGCAATGGTTTGTTGTTTCTTATTCCTGCTAATTACTGAAGTTATCTCTATCTTCTATATGACTTATTACTACCACTTATCTTTGAGGCAATTTATGACTATTGTATGTTGTTATCTGACTGTTTTGAAATGACTTGGAACTGAAAATTGAAATACACTTTTATCTCTTAAAGGCAAATACTACCTACTTCATTAGTCCAAATATGTGCACATTTCATAACTTTCCAGATTGTATTTTGGGGTGGAAAACAAACAGGCAGCATTGTGAAATCTAATTCGTACACRACGGTGGCACAAAAGAGAAGAAAAATATCCCTGGCCACGGGCTCATCTTGCTACCAAGGGCTGCTGCTCTCCTGCCTGGCAGGAAAGCCCCAGGAGCCTCCTTGAGCTCCATGCTGTGAGATAAAGCAAGCCGAGGGGCTGCCTTCTTCCCTGCCTTCTCCCCTGCCTTCTCCCCTCGCTTTCCCATGGGATATTTAGCCAAACCCCCAATCCCGCTGCCTTTGCACACGCAGGGCCCCTGGGTGCCTGACACACAGCACTTGTGTGAACCAGTGTCGTGAACCTCAGCTTGGAGCTCTTGTTGGAGCRGCTTAGGGACAGACGCAGGGAACCGCTGGGTGTGCGGCAAGCTAACGGGAAGCAAGTAAAGTAGGACTTTTACCTGGTAGTTGAGTTCTCTGACCTCAAGGACATTTGATTTTCCACTGTACGTGAAATACAGACTGTTATCTTCTTCAGAGCAAAAAATACTGTCTTGGACCTTTATTGGGAGAGATTATTATTTGGATTAATTGCAATAGCTAAGTTGCTGTTAAGACTTTTGAGCTCATAGGAAAAGAAGCAGGAAGGTGAATACATTTACTGAGGTGTAGCAACAGTGCTCATACAAGTGCCCGTGCTGCACAACTGTCTGGGGTGGAAATATGTTGTTTCTTATGCAGTGAGAAACGTACTTTGCTCAGAGGCCTGGGAGGAGGCCAGGCATGTGGCACTAGGGRTTTTGTTTAATTTTGACTTCCTATGTTCAAAAGGGAGTTGACCTGCATTTCATTATCTTGTAGAGAAATGGATTTTATTGTGATTTATCTGCGAAAAAAGTTATCAACTTCTGGAATGTTAAGCTCAAAGCAACATATACAGAAATGTGTAAGTTACAGCAGCCAAAACATTGCAGTTCCTTGCGACACCGTGCCCCGAGCAGGGAATCACTGCCGTACCAGCGGAGAGGATGGTTTCCTTGTCACCATCCTGTCAAGCAACACATGGTAGTTGCAAGTGGTGACCGCTCAGGACCCAAATACTGAAATGCTCAAAATAATGAATTAACTACCCAATACAGCCACATGCCTATGCTCTTCGCTACAGCCGCTGTTGAGTCAGCAGCTGGTACATCGAGGGGGAGAAGGTGCATCAGCGCGTGGGGGACCCCGCGGGGGAGCTGACGCTGCTCCCTCTGCCACCCTGGTTTTGGGGTGCCCTTGCCGGGCAGAAGGAGCCCTGCCCCGTGCGAGGCCGCTCTCCCGCACTCACCGCCGCGGCGCCGGGTGCCCGTGGGCTGTCACTGGTGCCGCTCGGAGCRGGCGTCTCTGCCGCCATCGCGTCCCGCGCCGGCTGCTCCCTGCGCGCCGAGGAGCCGCGGAGCGCGGCGGGGAGCCCGGCGCGCGCGTGACCCCGCGGGCAGGGAGCAGCTCGTGGGCGGGTGAAGGTCCATCAGATAGCGCCCGGGCGGGCGCCTATCGCTGTGGGCGGGCGGGCGAGGAGAGGAGAGGGTGGCGGTGCCCTCCTCCCTCGGGACAGTGCCTGAGTGCCGGCCTGGGGGCGCAGGGCCTGGCTGGTGGCCACCGCAGCGGCCACCATGTCGCGGGAGGGCGACGAGGCCGAGGCACAGCCCCGAAACAGCGTCAGCGCCCGCGGCCTCTGCTACACCATCAGGTAGGGAGCAGGGAGCCGCGCTGCTGGGGACCAGGAGGAGGAGGAGGAAGGGTGGCTCTGGCTCCTGGGAGGCACTTCTCTTGCATGTGTTTGAAGGCGGTCTCCGGAGGAGCTCTGGCAAGCTGAGCTCCTACCCCGCTCCTGCAGTAAGGACTGCGGCTGGACGGGCTGGTGGCTGGTTGACCTCTCTGACAAAGGAAGCCTCTGCTCACGTTTGCCATGTGAGGAGAGCAAACTGTCAGGAAAACCCGCATGGACTTTGCTTTATCTTGCAGATAACATCAAAGAGAAAATCTGTGTGTGAGGAAACGAATTTGTCTTTCAACAAAGTACAGTCCTTTCAGGTTCCCCGCCACACCAGTGCAAGCGGGAAGCCGCGCTGCGCTCGCTCGCCTGACAGGTCCTTTAAAACGGCGCGTGTCTCACGGTGCTGCTGTTTGTCCCCAAGGCAGCGCGTCGGGCCCTGGTGGGACCTGCCTTCCTACSGCAAGAAATGGACCCGCCAAATCCTCAAGGATGTTTCGTTTCACGTGGAGAGCGGCCAGATGATGGGCATTTTAGGGAATTCTGGTGAGTCTGCTTTCTGCTTTAAAAGGGAGACAACTGGAACTAACACCAGCTGTTTCCGCCGTGGGTTGAATCTGACAGAGACCAGTATTTTAAATAATGAAGCCACGGCTAAGGTTTGAGCCCTGCTTTGGATAACTTGGTGCTTGGTTTCCAGAGCTCTGTCTTCAGTCAGCGAACTAGAAACTATAACTTCAGTAACAGACAAGGTTACCTCTAAACCCAAATGTTTCCCCATGAAATGTGAATTTGGGAGAGTTAAATATTAGCTGGTACATCTTCAAGGTTTCCCATTTACTTTCCTTTAACAGACTGCCTGTTTTAATCTTAGCAAGAAAAAATATTTTTCTGTTTTTCATATCTCCCTCCAAGTGAGGCTACGGCCCTTGAGATTGTAAAATTCATCTCATCCCATTCTTAATTTCTTTTGATTGAAAGGGTCAGGGAAAACAACACTTCTGGATGCAGTAGCAGGAAGACTGGAGCATAAAGACAGCTTCTTTGGCGAGGTGTATGTGAACGGGCGTCAGCTGAAGAAGGAGCAGTTTAAGGATTGCTTCTCCTACGTGCCACAGGTGGACTTCTCAGTTAATTTTTGTGCACTGTACTTACTCTTGTGCAAAGAAAAGGAAGAGTTGCCAGTATAATGGGATAACGGAATCTGATTCTGCTTTCAGTCCTAAAATTAGTACTATTTCGGTAGTTAAAAAAAAAAAAAAAAAGAACGTGTGAAGGGTGTGTTGACTGAAGCGAGATCTTAATTATTATAGGACTAACTGTTGTTTCCTCTTTGCCCTGTTTTAGAATGACACTTTGCTGAGCTTCCTCACCATACAAGAATCCCTGACCTACACTGCTTTGCTGACTCGGCAGAAATGCTCCAGCAACTTCATCAAAAAGAAGGTCTGTATTTGATCATCTGTCCTTAGCAGCATTTTCATTCCCTGGAGGTGTTTCATATTTACGAGTTTCATACTTTTTATTCTGCAGCTGTAGGAAGTGGCACGTGAAGCGAAGTGACTTGCTCAGTATCATGCAGAGATTTTTTCAGCTGCGCCCCAGTAGGGCACGGGCCCCAGATGCTCCCCTGCTTGGTGCTGGGCTGGCACTGTGTGCAGGAATAAATCCCTCCCCTTTGAGGCAACAGCCACAGGTGGGGTAGATGCTGGTCTTGGGGTGGAGCACAATTCCCAGCCAGGAAATGTGGCTTTCCAAGTCTTCGAGGCTGTGCACCTTGGCAGTGTTCAGGGACTGCAAAGACATCCCTGGTGCTGCTCTGTCTCTCTCTCACTCACTAGAGGAGCTCTAATAAAGCACTGATTTAATAACCTACAACCTACTTTCTCCAGAAAATAGTGCRTTTCAAATCTACTAAAAGGCTCTTCCTGAGGTTCAATATTCCTAGCTCTTGCTGTCAGTCTTCCCTCTCACCTGTCTTCCATTCAGCATTTATCTGCCTTTCTGCTCCCCTAGCTTGAAAGCTAGACCAGCACGCTAAGGATGTAGAGTGTTCCTTCTTCTAGCTGCATCTCTTCCTGTTAACAGAAAGTAAAATTCTGATTGTTTTAGAATAAATACAAATCAAATTAAAAATATATAATTTCTACAGGTGGAAGCCAGATCACAGTAAATGATTKTCAGCAGAATGAATGCAAGTAGCATATTGGGAAGGCTTATAGTTACTTTTTTTCTTCCTTTCAATTTTTAACTATGCACACTTGGATCTGAATTCAAGAGTGACTGCTCTTTATGAATTGTAATTATTTTTCAGGTAGAAGCAGTTATGGCTGAGTTGAGCCTCAGCCACATTGCTGACAAAATCATTGGAAGCCGTATTCTTGTGGGCATTTCAGGCGGGGAGAGACGTCGTGTTTCGATTGCAGCCCAACTACTACAAGATCCCAGTAAGTACCATTACACAGATCTTCAAAACAAAACTGTGTCACTTTGTGCTCCCACCATGCTCCTCCATCAACATCTTTAAAATACAAAAACCTTTTGAGTTTTGCAGTTCAAAAAATCAGAATTGTCTTGTAATGACAGTCTGCTCACTTGGATGAGGCACCAGCAAGACACCTAAGTGCTCAGAAGCACTGTGGCCTTCGTGTGGCAGCTCCAGTTTAGACAGTGAAGAAGACACATCCACGGCTCTGCCTGGCTGCAGGCACTGATGAAATGGGAATCCATTTCTCTTGATAAGAAGGCAATGAGTCTGAGCACTTCTTCAGATGGCTGTAGTTTTAATGCAAAGAAAAAAAAAAACAGATAGATAAAAATCAAAGCAGAATAACTGAGTGAATGAGAAGATTAGCCATAGAAAACAGCAGATGAAACTTTAGTTTGTTAGTCTTAAGAGAGCTTCTCCTGTTGGAAGGATATTTTGGATCTAACTGARATGAGATCATGCACCCAGATCCTGACTACTGGAGTACCTAATTAGTGCATTTGCATCAATTGCAAAAAAAGAGAACAAAAAAAAAAAAGGCCAAGCAGACCATACCTGCCTTTACCCATAGGAACTTGTCCATAAAACTATCTTTTAATGTGAGTTTATGCCATGCATTTTTTGGTCATGTTCACATTATTAGCTTCCAGGTAATTATGTCTGTTTTACTGATGTATGTGGTGAATTTTATCACTATTGTTCTTAGAAGCAGTCATATTCATCAAATTATTTTGGCAATTTTCAGAACCAAATGACTGTGCTGTTCCTGCTGCTCTTGTTCATGTCCTTGTTGTCAGAAGCTGACACTGAGCCTCCAACACTAATTAAAGCTGAAAGCTGAAGCTACACTGATGATCATACGTGCTCTGCTTTACATCTAGAGTTTTACATGTGAAGTGTTTTCTGTAGTATTTGTCAAATTAGCTGTGAAGGCAGAAGTTGTAACGTTTGCTGCCCGTTTCCCTGAGTTTTAATGACATTTCTTGTGTTCTCACAGAGGTCATGCTACTTGACGAACCAACTACAGGCCTGGACTGCCTGACTGCAAACCAGATTGTCTCCCTGCTCTCCGAGCTGGCCCACAGGGACCGTATCGTGGTCATTACAATCCACCAGCCTCGCTCAGAGCTCCTGAAGGTGAATGAGATCTGCTCAATAGTTGCTTCTTTTTTGTTTTTTTTTTTTCCTTTTGCCAGATTTAGAGTGCTTGAATTTGGGGGAATGAAAGTGCAAAATCTAGAACAGCAGCTCTCGTGCTTCCTCCTGCCCCACATCCAAAAGAGACGTCTTATTTGTAACCTTCCAGCTCTGGACAGTGGGAGGGCATGTTCAGACACGAAATGAACGTGCAAGTAATGGTATTAATAATCTTGGTATGTTATATGGCTACCAAAACAAAAAAAGCTTTGGGACAAGGCATATAAATCATTATTATTATTTATCATTACTTATTTATCATTCATGTATTAATGAATATGTAAATATTGCCTATTTATTTATGATTACATGTTCATATTTGCCACCTGCGTAGCTGCATGCTTGCAGCTAGGGACAGACCAAGATTTCCATCATTTTGAATGGCAAAGGATCTTTTGTCCATCCCTCCCCATGCTGTTCCCTCTCTGGGTCAGGCCACGTGGGTTCACCATGACCACGCGTCACAGGCCTGCACTGGGGAGCCAATTCCTCCCTTGCATTCCTGGTTGCCCCTTTGGTCTTCTCACCCTGCACGGCTCCCCTGGGGCCGCAACGCGTCTCTTTTCTGTCTGACTGCATCTCGTGTCACAGCTACACGGGAGAGCTGGTGCCTTCCCGCACTGCGAGTGGTACCTGGGCCCTGCGGTACGTGTGGTAAGAGGCGCTGTCAGGGACCACGTGCCCAAACAGCACTAGAGAGATCCTTAAGCACTTCGGAGATAACTCATCTTCCCAGCAATCTGGGATTACAGCTGGGGGACAATAAGCGCCGGGGGGCTCAGTAATTAAGCAAATAGAGCTGCGGTCAGAAGGGTGCAGCTCCCATGGCTGTGCTTGGGCCCCCCTTCCCTCTGCACGCAGCTGACACTGACAGCTCTGCGTCACCTTGCATTACCACTGAGAGCAATGATAGAAAGGACAAACTTCCTCTGACAGACAGATGCTAAGGAAACTT